GATCATCGGAAATACCGGTTCAGCTGAACTGGTAGCATTTTTTACTATCTGTTCGAGAAAACTGGGGGGGAAACGGCAGCATTTCATCTCTGACTAGTTCCCAGACTTTTCAGCAGTAAACATGCTAGTTGGAATTTTTCATCTTTATCCTTGATGGAATTGCAGTTCCTCATTGAGGAATGTTGCACAGTGTGGATGTTGTCTTGGACTCAAAGCTTTTGCTTGAAGAGCAGATGGCAGATGTGGTCCAGAGAGCTTTTAAGTAGCTTAGTATGGTGTTCCAACTGCTCTCCTTGAATGGCCCTCTAGACAGTTGCTCATGCCCTTATCAACTCAAGGCTTAACTATTGCAATACACATGGGTCTGCCGTTGAAGGACACCCAGAAGCTTCAAATTGTCCAGAATGCAGTGACGCAAGCAATGATGGGCTTATCTCAGCATGCTCATGTGATATTTCTGCTATGAAATAGGGCCTGATTATTTGAAGGACCAGCTATCTTCCATGGTCACTGCCTAGTATTATATATCCAGAAGAGTGCTCCAGATGCTTTTATATAAACAAAGTCATTTTTGAGGCCAGAAACATGGCCTCTCACTGTTTCCAGGCCTAGAATAAGGTGGATGAGAGATGCCTCACAGCCCATTTGAGATATTTGGATTGATATGTTACCTGGATTTCCAATTTGCATCTATCTTTAAGCTCTTTTCTGGATTGCTTTTTATTGTCTTTCAGTTTAGTTATTTTTATGTTATTTATTTTGTATGCTATTTAAAGTTTTTGAGAGTCTGGCATAATTAAAATAGAATAAACAGTAATAGCAGCATAATTTGTAGAGCATCCAACTTGGGAAAAGCTATTGCAAGGGTTCTAAATTATATGTATTGTTATTGTTCAAGAGAACAAAGTAGGATGAACAAGTATAGAACAAGACCTGGATGCATTATTCTTGGTTTTTATGGTTGTGAGATGCTCAGGGTTTTGTTTTTAAGCTGGACTGCCATAGAAATCTTTAAAACAAATAAAATTTGGTCCTGCCTACTTAATCAACTCTTTATTTCAAATGTTGATAAAATGTCATGCTATATTTTTCTTTAGACAACCTTGTAATTGTTTTTTTAAGATTACACCTAGGTTCCATGTTTGAGAGCTAAATGCACCTAGTGGTAAGTGAAATGGCTTAACTGAGATTTATGCTAGTCTTCTACAAGCACATACATACCTTCTGACAGGATTAGACTCCAACTGCCAAGATAGTGATAATAGTTACAGTTCAGTACACTTGAAGATTCAGGGTTAGAAAAAGTTGGTTTACAATCTTAGAGTACCATCTCCTTATTTGTTCATGTTTTCTTTATATTCTTCCTGACCAGCTGTTGACAAATATTTTTCAGCGCTTTTCCCTCTTTTCCTATTAATGAAGGTTGAACTAAGTTATGTAAAATGAATAATTGCTTTAGATTAGGCCTGCATAGCATATAGTCTCTGGGCTATATGTGACCTGCGAAGCGTCCTTGTAGGACACATCAGCATTTTTTAAAAAGTCAAATTTGCTCCATCACACCAGAAGATGGGGGGCAAAGTGCTTCTAATTCACCAGCAGCAGCTCTGGCATTGTCAGTAGCCACCAAATTGTTGATTGGCATCCAAGGTTTCTTTCATAACTTGCAAGGATTTTTAGTTTATCAGCATGACCTTTTCCCTCCTACAATTGTGCAAATTGAAGGGGAAGGTAAAGAAGGGCTTTAAAAAATACAGTTCTTCAGATTCTTGAGGAAGGTGGAATAAATTTTCAACAATAATGGTCTAAAAACAAGGATATTTACAAGGGCTTCTAATGTGGCTGGTAGCCAAGACAGAATTGTGATAGTTGAAAATGTTTGGAAACATTGAAAAATACTAATTTTATTTTAAAGTAATTAGTTGGAAAAATTTATGGGATAAAAGATAATGTTCACGAAAGCTAGTAAAATATGCTAAAATGTTTAATAATAATATATTAAAAAGGGAAAGCTACTAATTTTTACCGCTCTATGAGATTATTAAAATGTAACCTTTTTTGTATGCCTTTAAGAAAGTTAAGGGACATTTGCAAGATTTTTTCTTCTTCTAAATTGCCCTTCTAACTTTCTCATTTCCTTGTATAGGGGAGTTTTATGTTCAGTTTCTATTCGCAATATGTAATAGCATTTCTAGATCAAAAATGCAGAATGGATAGAATTTAAATTATTATAATACTTGTTTAGAGAAATAATACTTACATGTGTAAAACAAAACTGCCATCATCCCAGTACACTAGGAAGAGAGGAATATTTTAGTTTTCTATGAGAAGGCTTTCCTTTTTGTTCTTAAAGATGGGGAAATGTTTAAAATCAGATTGCTCACTTGTAATCTGTCCATTCTACAGGGAATTAGATTGATGTAGCAGCTTGGTGTAGTGGTTAAGATACCAGGCTAGAAAACTGTAGACTGATAGTTCTAGTTCCCTCTTGGGTACAAAGCCAGCTGGATGATTTTGGGCCAGTCACACACTCCCAGCCCCGAGGCAATGGCAGATCTTTCTGAAAATCTTTCCAAGGAAACTTCAAGGACTCATCCAGGCAGTATAGCCAGGAGTAAAAACAGACTACAAAGACACCCCACTCTCCAAATTCAAGAGAGACAACGTTCAGCAAGAGCTCCAGAGCAAAAGGGCAGAATTAATTTCTTTGGATTCTCTTTGAAGTTTTTCTTGGGTTTTCTTGGATTTATTTCTCTTCTTGGATTTACAGTCGCAAAGCCGATGCAGTCCCTCCAAGAGAGGGCATCCGGGAGGGCAACTTCCTAACATCCATAGACCTGATGGAGGCATATCTCCACTTCCTTCTCCTACCATCCTACCGCTAGTTCCTCAGGTTCTACTATGTGGGACATCACTACCACTACAGAGCCCTACCGTTAGGCCTGTCTTAAGCACCAAAGGCCTTTACCAAAATACTGGCAGCACTGGTGGCCCACCTCAGGGCTATTCCAATCTGTGTCCAAATGACATTTTAATCCAGTCCTCTTCTCACCTTCAGGCGGCAGAGAATCTGCAAGTCACAATCGGGTCCTGTAGGATCACAGATTCTCAGTTAATTACAAGAAGAGCCACTTGGCTCCTACCACCCGCTTGCCATACTTGGGGCGATCATAGACATCTCATTATGCGAGGTTTATCTATCGCAGGACTGCCAGGAGAGCATAAAAGCACTGGCAAATCGGACCTGAGCAACCCGGTCAGTTCCACTGGTCCTCCTCTCATAACTCCTGGGCAAAATGGTATCTTGCATGGCAATTGTTCCCTCTGCATGGCTACACATATTCTTAACCTGGGGACTATCTTTATTGTGACATGGAGAAGATATGGATGTTGGGTCAAACACAGAAATTACTAAGGGTATTATTGTGGATATTGTTAAGAACTTGAAAGATTGATATAGCTGATTAATATTTTCAGTTACTCTATTGGTGATGATGCAAATTAATGGGTTCACATTAAAAGGGGATTTGTACTATAAGAATTTCTTAATAGTCCAACTACGGTAATAATCTAAATTGACCTTTGAGACTTCTTCAAATTCTGATACTAACAAGTGAAACTACACCATATGTTTATCTGTGATATATACTATAATAAGGGTGGTGTAGGTATGTGTATAGTTAGATAGAAAATGAAAGAGACAGTGAGGTTACTGCTGGCCTGCAGTATTTGTATATAAAACAAGTTTATTCAGTATTCAGTTTCTTCTTTTTAAGTGAATGTTTGAAAATATTAATGTTTATTAATAAAAAATAAAATTAGTCTCCTTAATTTTTCATATGGATTTATTTTCCTATAAATTATTTGTGATATTATTCTGCTAGGGGATTTTTTATAGGATTCTAAAATAGGCATTAAGTAACTGATTAATTTATTTAGGAATCAGAATAGTATATCACTGGTATGTCAGAAAGTTTATATCTTGCTGAGTCTTTGAACAAAAAGAACATAGAAGTTGAAATATAAATAATTTCTGCTTACTTAAAAACTTGATATGTTTATACATTCTTCTGTGAGAACTTTACCATTTTCTCTAGAAATATATTTGAGCTTGCAGACTATCCAGTTCACTTTTTTGCTAAATGTATAACACATTCACATCCATATCTCTTATTTTTTTATTCCAGCCAGTTACTGATTATATAGCCAGGTGGGGTCGCTTTATGTAGCTATAATATTAGAGCAGAAAACATAAGTCCTATGTAGAGTTGAAGAGGAATGTTGTGAATGCTTCTTTGTCTCTGTTGATAATGCTATACAATTTTGCAGTTTGGGAAAATATTAACAAGAAGGTACCTTACAATTTTTATCAGCTAATTTGAATGTGATGTCTTTTTTTAAAAGAATTTACACAAAAGGCCAAGGACATTTTAGAACAGTATTAGCTAGTTTCTAAGACTTGCATAGTAAAACTATTCCTCTTTGATATTATGGCGCCTTATTTGGAGTAATGTTTTTCTGTGCTTCTAGTTTGGAAATTTCCATTCAGTTTTGGAGGAGAAATACAGGGTTGATAAAGAGGGCTGATAAGGATGAAAGGATACAAGGATAACATGATCACATTTCTATTGTGGATTTTTATATCAGAACAACTATAAATTTATTTTATTTAAGAATATGTGTAGGAAACAGGAAAGTCGTCTAATATTTTGGAGTCAGTAAATTGCCAAACGTAGAGATTGATGAGAAAATGACAAAGCAAATGTATCAGGAGTACTTTAGTCAGATATAATCAAGCAGAAATCTAGATGCTCCTGTCTTGACTGTTCTTTGCATATTTTTTATTCCAAATTTGTAGAATTGAGTATTATGCACACCCACCCTCCTTTTAAAAAAGGCTATTAAAAAAGATAAAAGCAGCCCAGGGTGGGTGGTTCTTGAATTGGGACAACATGTGTGTGCAGTCATCAGTACTGAATGCTGATTCCTCTTCTTTCCAGGAGGCGACGGTCAGAATGGCAGTGGGCAGCAGACAGAGCTGATATTGTCAGTCGCTGGAACTGGCTTCAAGCTCATGTCTCAGATTTAGAGTACCGAATCCGTCAGCAAACAGATATATGCAAACAAATTCGAGCCCGCAAGGTAAGAAAGCAAAAGTTACTTCTTTTGGATCTTTGCCATTTTATTATAGTACAGGAAGTCCTCAACTTGCAACCATTGGTTTAGTGAGTTCTTCAAATTATAATGGCACTGAACTTTTAACCAGTATTCAACACTACGACCATCACAGAAGCCCCAAGGTCACTTCATCAAAACTCAGGCACTTGGCAACTGGCATGTATATTTTTGACAATTGTAGCATTGTGCTGTCAGATGATTGCCATTTACAATCACGTGATTCATTAGCAATTATAGTGATTCACTTAACAACTGTGGCAAGAAAGGTCATAAAATCAAGAGTGACTCATTTAACAATCACCTAACTTGGAATGGAAATTTTGCTCCCAATTCTATCCATAAGTTGAAGACTACTTGTATTGCAAATACCTTAATATATGTTTTGCATTGCATGTATCAGGGGAGGGTGACAGGATTTTATAGCTTCATTTGTCTTAGCATTTTTATCACCAGATATAGCTACAAGAATAGTGTTAGAAGTATATTTTAGCAGAGGTTGCAGAGCAACTTGGTAATTTTTATTTTCATTAGTACCTCTACTTGCCAGACTTCAAATTCTCTGGAATACGTGGCACAGAAAGGGGAAGAAGTAAAATCAGCAGATCAGAGCAGCCCAACCGTGCTGGCATTTAGTAAAGTTACTTGAGCCTGACTATTTTTGAAAGCCTTGAAAGGAGATTGATAGACAGTTGAATTCCCACTTCGCAATAGGTGATTAGTGCTTACAGAGAGTGTTATTCCACGGTATGATGATGAATGTGAAGGTTAACTACTTTCATTACTATTTGTAATTATTACTGTTGTAGTTATTTCTGTTTTGTAATTTTAATAGATTTAATTTTTTGTTAACATGTTGGAATATGCATCTTTTAGCGTCATCTATGATTGAAGTGTCACTTAAAGCTTAGAAAATAGTAAATATCCCCAAAATAGGAATTTGCTACTACTAGGAAAACATGTAATTTGAGTGATTAATTTGTAGTTTAACCTGCTCATTTCAATTACTAGATATGAATTTGACTTCAATTGATTTTTTCCAGGTACATCAGCCCTGAATACCAGCTTTGCTATTATAATGATCATTGCACCTTTATTTCTGTTCTTTGACTTTCCTAGAGTTTAATTACTTTTCTCCAGGCAAGATAAAAGGAAATTCGAGTTACAGCTGTCATTAAATATATATCCAGAAATGCAGAGGTCAACCTTTGCTTCTTTGTCCTATAAGCTAGGTAAAATTAACATACAGTATTTAAAAATGACTAAATCACATTGTCTCTCCATCTCATTTCCTGCTTGATGAAGAAGTCTCAAGGTAGTACAAAACTCTGTGGCAAATCAGTTGCTTTAAAAATGTACTTTGCAGTTGTTGATACTGGATTATTCCCCTCTCATGAATCAGGATAGATTTAATTCATATGCCTTGTATCATTGGACACTCATTTGAGTACAACCATACTACTTTTGCTTTCTATCATAATACATTACTGGGTGTAATTCATAAGATTAAACAGAAATATATAGGAAAAAATTAGGACATTTTGTTTGCTTAAAATAGAATAGTGTAATGGCAATACATTTGAATGGCACCATAGAGTGTTACAGAATTAATTATCAATTATTCAGTTGTTTCCCCTTTTCATGTTAGGGAAAGATCTTTCAGCATTTAGAAAGTGATGTTCTTGATTTTCTGAAGCTGTCAGAATTGTAATAGTATAAAGGCTACTGAATTTTTGTATGGTTTTGCTGCTGTTTGTGTTAACTGTCAGCAGTTCTTCCTAATTGTGGCACTAAATTGGGATGGATCAGGAAAGATTTTGAATAATGAAAGATAAAATTAAGAATAAGGATGGGTGTGAGCAGAAACACTTACAGGTATTCCTTAGCTTATGACATCACTTATTGACTATTTCAAGTCATAATCTCCCCAAAGTTCGTTATAACCCAGTTTCAAAGCCTGACCCTCATGGTCCTGTGATTACCTTTTGGCTGCTGGCTTCAAGTACAGTAAAAACAGAGAAATCAGCTCATTTCATTACTCTTATCATCACAAAATAAAAGTTCTTTGCCTGTGCTTGGTTGAATTTGTGCTTAATTTTTCTTCATCAGTCCCTTTCATCATCACTTCATATCCTGGACCTCTTTGTTAAACCAGGCAACTCTATAGTAACCATGATCATAGAGACCCCACACAGCTACAGTTTGATGAAAGGCTCTTCTATGCTTATTCCAGGCCATAATTAAGGCCTCGGAACCATGATCAGAGCTTTGGGTATAAACTATTATATAATTAATTAATAACGAATCTATAATATATTTCTCTCTGAAACTCCATTGTCACTCAGTCACTTGGGACCAGCCAATCAAATAAGATCTTTTTCTCTGCAGTAGAAAGCAGTTAGAGAGAACTGCGAGGTCAAAAGGGAGAATTGTGAATAGCAAGGGACTGATAATTAACACACACACCCCAATCCCAAATCATGTTGCCACTTCTCCAAGACAAAAACCAGATCCAAATATGACCTCTGTTGTGGAGTCCCCTCATTAATCTGGATGAGGTCTGTAGTTGCCATAGTGGTCAAAACCCCCAAGCAGTTTCTGACTGGGCATAGAGAAAGCAAGTTGAAATCCTCCAGGATAACCACACTAGGTCTGTTTCACTGCAAATTTAGTAGCTAGACCATAGAGAAACAAGCAGCCCTTTTAACTGATCTGCCCTTGAAACTTGGAAGGGCACATTTCAGAGAAATGACACAGACATAACAAGCATGGAGGCTCACGTATGCCTGAGCATTACACCTGACCATATTTCGGTAATGCATGCAAGGTCATCTTCTTATCCAGGATCAAATTGAGGACCAGGTGACCTTATTACAGTATGACCTAGCATTAAATAACAACAGCTGGATTTCAAGGTCTAGGAAGTCTCCTAGAAATAAGGCCTGGAAACTAAGCAGATGGGCTGGTTTCCAAGGTGAGAATTATAAGACTTCTGGTTTCTGAAGTTGCAGCATTATTTAGATAAGAGGAAGAGGCTTTTACTCCTCTATAATTATAATTGCAACTCCTGACTATCACAGCCCATATGATTGATGGTGAGTTATAGTGAAGTTGCCTCCCTTGATTTAAAAAAAAAACAGGTGCTGCTTTCCATGGTACAAGTTGACATTTGGAGTAAACAGGATTTTTGTGCCAAAAACCAAGTTCAGCCAAAAAAACTTATTGCCTCAAAATGTAATAATTAAACCTAGCCCATAAGACAATTGGAACCATTCTTTCCTTGTTGAAAAATATCCTAACAGTCAGTTCTTTCAAAAATAGCACTGCTAAAAATGCATTTTCTTTTGCATTTATTAATTCTGAGATTTAATTTATTTCTAATCCCTGCCAGGTATAATAATATAAAATGACAAAATATTTTAAGATGGTGATGCACAACATCCAAGCACTCTGTCCGTAACCTTGACTAACAACAACCAGTAAAAAAGTTAAGCTTTTTCTGTGGATTTTGACAGAAAAGGCAGCCAGATTAAAGTAAATGCAAAGAATTTTATTCAGAAAAGATAAACAGCATTGCAAAATATCACTGCATAGTGATAGCAATCATTGGAATAAGTATTTAAGATGTAGCTTTTTCCACAGGCATTTGGATCTTGTTCAGTAAAATCAGTTTTGGATATTTAATTATTACATTTGATTGTTATTTAATTATTATATTTAATTTGTCAAATATAATAATTACTGGGTTGTTTTTAAAAGTTGTACAAAGGTGTTTTTTTTTGTTTAATGTTTATTTTTGTTCCATGTTGCCAGAATCAGATTGTTTGAGTCGGGAAGCTCTATAAATTAAATACAAAAGTACATCTATCCTTTGGACTATTCTTAATAGATAGTATTATTTTATCTTTCCTGAGATATTTACAACAAATAGGCCATAAAGTGAGTTCAGAATGTTTTATTAGTCTTTATCAGATTCATGTGTTTCTCCTATTTGTCTGATGATCTGTATAAATGGGAACCAAACACTATTCAGTAGAAAAAAGTGCTAAGGAGAAACTTTGTCCATTGTCTGAAACTTCCATATCCATTACAGTTCAGCAGTAGCAGTCTTGCACAACCTGTTGCCCTGGGGAGATGCGGTCCAATACCATTTGCTCTTCTGGCATGCAGTTACAGAAGCTGATGTCAAATAAGTCTGCAGAGCACCAAGCTTGAAATATCTTCAAATTAGCATGAATGTTTACCATAAAAAATAGCAAATATAGAAAATGACTGCCCACATACCATTCTGAATGTTTATATCTCAGAGCAGGGGTGGGATTCTACCAGTTCAGACTGGTTCTATCGAACCAGTTGTTATGATTCTGCACAGTTCAGAGAACTTCAAATCGTGCCCCTGGCTGGCCCTGCCCCATTCCGCCAACTCCTCCCCACCCAGTCAATCCTTATTGCACATGCACAACATTGCACACGTGCCTGACATCGCTGACTGTGTTCTTCTCTGCCCAGTCACTCCTTAAGGTATTTCTTTTTTTCCCCCCTCTCGACGATCAGATGTTCCTGTGATCAGCTGTGCTGGGATTCCCCTTGCGATCTTACTGCTTTGCCCAGTAGGTTTCCCTGAGGCCCAGGAAGGCAAATAATGGAGGGGGACACTCCATTTTTTTCCTTCCTGAACCCCAAGGAAGATTTCTGGGAACAAAACGCCCCCGGGTGGCTTCCCTGAGGCCACAGAAAGCCCCAAAATGGAGCGTGGGGAGGGGTGCTGCGGGTCCCTCCTGGTTCTGTTTTTTTCCTTTCTGAGTCCTAGGGAAGCCTTCTGTGGGAGCAAAAATATCACCCCAGGAGGCTCCACTGAGGCCCAGGAGGCTGAAAAACAGAGTGCAGGGGAGGGCTCCCCCGCTCCATTTTTTGCCTTCCTGGGTCCAGGGAAGCCTTTTGGGGGCAAAAATGCCCCCCCCCAGCTT